ATTTTCAGTAACAGGGCATTTGTCATTCTAGCTAGCAATTTGTTAAGGTTATCTGGAGACATTTGCCCTGCTGCTTTACGAAGCGGCACTTGTTTGACGGACACTTTGTTGCAGTTTGTTGTCCTCCTGAAGAGAGAAATTGGCACCAATCAGTCATACACAGGGGCATGGCCATGCAAACTGAAATGATAGCTGTCCTTTTATAATTCTAAGACTTTACCGTTCTCAAACAACCCTTAACTAGCCGATGTACTACTGCGGTTTCCAGCAGTGCCAACATAATTGGAAATGCTTTTGCTTTTATTCCTGTAGTAACTAAATAGCCTTTGTGCCATAACCAAAGTGGATTGATAAAGATATTTGATTAAATACCACTAATGACTTATAATGAATGATTTCATGAATTGGGCCACTTGGCAGCACAGTGGTTAACGCTGTTGCCTCACAGCAGGAAGGTCCTGAGTTTGAATCCACCCTACTTGTTCTCCTTGTGCATGCATTCAGCTTTCTCCCCTTTTATGGTGAATTTAAACTTAAAAAAACAAAAACAAGGACATGTCCAGGTGACTTTACAGTAACAGCAACAGTTTAAATATGAACATGTCATTCGCTGATGTGCCGAATCATTTTTAGACAACAATGCGAGTCTGTAGGACAGAAACAGCTTGCGTCACCCTGCACAGACAAAAGCTGATAAAAGAATTTGTTACTAAAAATACCAAATATTGCCAGTCTTGTCTATTAATGTTGCTAAGTGGGCGGTTGTATCAGTGTTTTACACCTTCTAGAGCTCAAGTTTGAAAATTCTTGCATTTGTTAAGCTATTAAAGCAGCAATGAAACCCACCACAAACCTTTCATTGGGGATCTCATAGGTGGCAGAGCAAACACCATATTTTAATATGTGAAACACATGATTAGCCCCACTTAACACACCAGGTTTCCTGTCATTTACAAAATTTGTAATGTGTTTACCTCGAGCAGGACTTCCAATGGAAAGAACAGAGTGTCACTTTCCAAAGATAAGTGTGTCTTAACAAGCAATAACAAATTATATTTGGAGCCAGGTGCTGTTGACTTTACTAGATTTGACAGGTACTTAGGATATCAATTGTAAGAAAAATGTGAACAGGTTAAACACGACGATGATTGTCTGCTCGCTCAAATATTATTTGTAACACAAAAGATGAGCTCAAAGCAGCGATTATTAGCTATACCTACACTCAGTGACTTCGTGAACTTATTCATATGCAGCGAAGGGAGCAAAGCACTCTTAGCACCAGGGTTTTAGCCTCCACTGGGAACAGCCATGTGCTAAAATATATGCAAGAAACCGTGCCGAATAGAGGTGCCCACCAGATAGCCCAAGTTATTTTAATATTAGCTATCAAGCAACAGAGATGTGTCTGTAGTCTCCCCCATGGGAAGCCAAATTTTCTAGGACATCAGGCCTGAGTGCCGCACTGACCATTATGAGGTTAAGTCGAGTTTTTTTTTTAAGAAGTAAACACCGCGCCGGGTGGACGTGCAGTCAGTGTTCTAGAACATTTTCTTCTGTTACTTTCTCGTCTCCACAGGAACGAAAATAAAAAGCAGCTCCCAGAGCAGAACAAGTGCGATCTCACTGCAGGTTAAACAAGTTGAATGTTGTCTCAAACACTTGACAGTTTCATTGCCGTGCCTTGACCTTGTTCTTTATGCCAGATTGTAGTTACTTCAAAACACCATCTCTCTCTTGTTTAGCCCACACTGCTGCGAGCTGTAGAACTCAGTGCTAACGCTGAAATATCTGCATCTGGCTGAACAGGATATTAAAGTGGTTTTATGTCATTTTGCTTATTATCTATTCAAGTACCATCAGTTCCCCAAGACACAGATGTAACCTCTGTGGGTCTTACTTCTGTACACACCTTTGCTAAACGTTTCCTTTGTATATAAGATAAAGTATAAAGAAAAAAACTTTTTGCTTTCCTTTTGCAGGAGTGAGAAATGTAGGTTATATGATGTGTAGTGTCAGACTTCCAAATAAGAAGAAGCCAAAACTGCACTAATATTTCCATGACGAATGTGCTCCCGTGTGCAAATGTTAAAATGTTGCAAATTTTTTTTGTGGCAGTTCTTTAGCCTCTTCTACTCAACCAGTTTGGTAGCCAAGAAATTTGTCATTCAGGTCACTATTACTTCAAAGACCGCTTGCTTTAGCAGCAGCCAAGTTTAAAATTAAAAACATGACAGCTAGGGAGAAAGTGAGAATACATTTTCATTGCATTTCCAAAAAAAAAAAAAAAAAAAGTTTTTATGAAATTTCACATTCTCCAGGGCTTTTCCAGGCCTAGAAGAAAACACTCAATTTGCACAGCTAGAGACAACATTCATATTTGTTAAACATTCATGAAAGGAAAAAAAAGCTTAAAATTATTCAGAAATGTTGGAGAAGACCCTGACTCTGCTCGATCTGAAACGTTTGGGAGGGGTTGCCTGCTTTAAAGAGCCTAGGAAGCCTAAAGGTGAGAAAGAGCTGGAAGACTGGACACGAGTATGTGGATGCATCTGTTTGCTGTTAACGCTGATGTTTAATGCATCTCTTCTGTTCTGCTCTGTGGCTGGAGAACGCTCGTGGGGGTATCTGTGCTGGCACTGCAGATAACAGAATGGCACTACCTTCATCTGTCCCCACAGGGAACATGGCAGCGAGAGGAGCAAGAAAGAGAGATTAAGACACCGAGAAAGACTGAGTGAAGGAGAGCAAACAATTTTCACGTTAATTAGCATCCCTCTCCTCCCCCGCAACGCAAACAATGCAGAACCCACAGAACGGGAAGCAAACAGGGACACGGCTGCTGCAAGCTTGCTAACTTTAAGTCTCCTCATCTTGTGCTGAATCAGTGGCAGGCGGCAAAACACATCAAAAAGGACAGCGCTGTGGGATTAAGAGCAAGTCAGAGGGAGTGGTGGGAGGCTAGGAGTAAAAAAAAAACAAAAAACAAAACACAAGCCAGGGGAAGGTGGGGAGGGCTGTGGAGACAGGCGAGGAAAAACTAGGCAAGGGACAGAGGGGAAAAATGGAGGAGGCAAACAGAAGGGGAAGATGGGAGAGCCAGACATGAAAGGAGAAAGACAGAGGAGAACATGGTGGGAAGGTGGGAAATGGGGAGGATAAGAAAGAGGCAGGGGACAAGAAAAGCGGGGATAGGGAAAAAAAAGAAAAGAGAGCAGCTAGAAGGAAGGCGGGGGAATCTAAAAAATGATGAATGAAGGAGAGACAGAAAGGGGAAGAGTAGAGAAATAGGGAGCACAACGGGAAGATGGTTCTGTTTATGAATCGCTGTGACTCTGCTTCCTACACACAGCTGCTCTGCTGACATGCAAACACCCAAATGCTGACGCATGTCAATAAACGTACCAGCATCACAATCCAGTAACCGCGGGGTTTCTAAGTGAAAGCAGAGGAAGTGAGGTGCACAATGCCGTCCTACTGCCTTTAATGGCGAACGCATCCAAAATAAACCTCAGGAGAGAAAGGCGGTTTATTCAGCTGATGCTGAAACACGTTGTCGAACAGCCGAACGGCCGGTCAGAAAAATAAAAAAAGGATCCATCAAAGCAGCTTGATCAAATCTATCGTCCTTTACATGGCTGCCGGATCGATAAAAACAGCACGACTCGGAACAGCTGGCAATTTCTTCAACACAATGTGGCGAGCACACAAACATGAAAAGAGTCCTACAATTCTCCTCTGGGTTGGAGGCGCGCAAACACAAACCCGCACGCTGGATACTCGAGAGAAATACCATACATGCAGTCGAGCATGCAAGGACACAGTTGTGTATCCAATTTTTGTTCCATCTCATTTTTGAATCGATAACACATTACAGCAGTTTCTGAAGACGTCGAGCACAGACTCGGGGATTCGTCCAAGCCGAACATATGCACATTTTTAGACCTGCCAGGGAAAAAAACCAAAACAAACTGCATCTCCATCATTACAAAGTAGCGCATCACTGTGCCAACAATACTCCAGAAATTCATTTTAAATTCCAGTCAAGACACAGAGGTGAGTCACTCAAACATAACAGATACATCACAGGAAGATGTGTGCAAACTCATGTGCAAGACGGCAAAAAACAGTTCCGTCTCCGTGCCATCGCACATTTTAACATCTGAGTCAACACGGCATCATAAACTGCAGAAGTAAGCCGATACAGGGGCTACTGTATGTGCCTGACTTCAAAGCAAAGCAAACATTATGAATGTGGAATTAACTCTGATTCTAACGATGCTTCTTTTGAATTTTAGGCTCATGTATCTTTTAAGTGAGTAGCTGCCATACAAACATGAGCATGTAGCTGCAGTTTAAGATACCATCAACAGAATATCTTCAATTCTTCAAATGACTGAAGTCATCTCCACTTCTTGTAAGAGTGTCTTAAGGCATATACTAAGGGTGATCTCACACCAGCCACGGCTGCCTTGCACCGTGCTTTCATATAACTGCTCCCCACTCCCTACGATGCCCTTACCAGTCCAGGCCAGAGCGCCACAGTTTGTCTCAACGTCTCTACTCCACTCTCGAGCTCACAGCTTCTTTCTCACAGACACATACTTTTAAAATAACCTTGCATTGCATAATGAGGTTCATCACGTTACATATTTTGTGGGTTATTTGGGGAAGTGGTGCTACGCTGTTTCTTTAACATTTGTTAATTGCTTAACACAGTGATTAACAGGAGGGTCAAACGAACACACACACACACAAATAGCACATTTTACTATCACGTTTGCCACAAAATAATGTTTTTACACTGTACGTCAGGCTGTGTAAGGCACAGCAGAATCAAAAATGGCTGGTATAAAAAGGGGAAAGCAGCTTTGGTAATCCATCACCATCGTTCACGTTGAACACAGGCACATGTATGTACACATTAAGGGTGAGTGCAGCAACATTAACGCCCGGCATCTCTGGTGGAGGAGCGGGCGAGTTGACAGGGGACGGCCGCTTACCTGAAGAACGTGACGAAGAACTGCACCAGATCCATGAAGTTACTATGCTGGGAGAAGGCAATCTGTTAAAACAGGAAACAGAGGGCACAGGAGTGAGTCAGAAATCTGCTTTAATAGAGGAGATTTTGAAGCAGGTCAGCGTTATACATTCAAAAAAATAAATAAATCAAGCTTTTGACCAGCGCTGACCTTGCAGATCTGAGGAGAGCAGGAGGGATGCTCCTGCTCTCACTATGCATGTTTGCATTGCATACTGTGAACCATCTATATGATCAACACTTTACAGTGTGTCTAAAACATTTATTATTATTATTCTTATCAGTGACATTTCTCCTTCGCTGAGGCTACCCATACACGGCTATCCCCAACTGCTGGGAGGTTGCCAGTCGGTTGGCTTATCTGTGCTCCCGACTACACGCCTGTCAGAGACAACGACCCAGCCGCCGGACCTCTCAGCTGCCCACAGCCTGCACAAAAAAAAAGCATTCCTGCACATGTGGGCAGAAATATTCACTATGTAATCATCACAAGAGCAATTGTGCTAACATAATCCTGTCTTAATCAAGGTTGCCAGGGGTAACATTGGCAGTGAGGTACCAACTCCCCAATGCCCCCTCCTCTTCTTACGCCTACAACTCCACCCCCCCACCCCCAAGCAAAATGCCTTACATCCACCTGTTCCTACAACAACACAACACTGCCTCTATCTGGCAAACCAGAGGTAATGTAGCTGCTGCCATGTTTCTGTTATGTGGGAACTTGAACCAAAACTCCTCACTGCTTATAATTTGTATGAAAAGCTGGTGCAGCATAGCATTCCTCGGAGGGTAAATATATATATATATATATATATATATATATATATATATATATATATATAAACAAAAACAAAAAAACAAACAAAAAAAAAACCCAACACAAACCACCTGTCATACTCAGATTAGTCCATGAATATGCAATAGGTGGGGGGAAAAAAAAACAGACCGGTCAGATTGCAAAAATATCTACAGTGTCTTTACACCAGACCTCAACCAGGCCAAAGGCACCGGGCTTTACAGTGAGGTGACAGGGGGTGTGGGGTGCTGTAGGATCGGCCTGGGGTCTAATTTACTTGTGGAGTCAGCGCCATCTGGATTGCTAATGTGTTGCCGTTGATTACTGTTGAGCACAGATTCCTCAGTGTAATCATTTTGCTCCAGACTGTTGAACACTGAAGATAAGTTCAGGGTACCAGTATAGTCAGGGAAAAGTTTTAAAACGATGACATCAGCACAGATCGGGACAGGCGACCAACACTGGAGCAGTTTAGGAATTAACCACAGAGTACTATAATGGACAATATGTGCCACTAATGCTTTAAAAATCAGTGATTTGATGTTTATCCAGGTACAAATAGGCCACTGACTGTGAGCCATCAACAAGTAATGTACGCTTTCTACAACAAATGTCTTCTTTTTCCTGTGCATCACCAGTCCCCCTTCATTTCAAACCATTATCAGTCAATAGACCGGACCCCTACCAGCATCTTTTCCCAAACCATAACCACTCCAAGCCCCGTCTGGATTTCACAAAACCTACCCAGGAAAGTTATACAAGCTGACTCAGAATGACCTGAAATGCACTCCCCCAAAGTACGGTAGGTTGACTCGGGACTGACAAAAAAAAAAAAAAAAAAAAAACCTCTCTCAAAGTGGGTCTTGTCACATATCTATTAACTTGGGACCCTGCGGAAACACCCTGTACTCCTGCACTTAGCATCCTGCAACCTTCCTGACGAGGTTATGAGCTAAAGTTTCCCTCGTTATCACCCATTTCCTTCATATCTCTAGAACCGTACATGCGATTGGCACGTGGGTGGTAATGTTTGATTTGGGGTACAACTATTCAACCTACAAAAAGTTCTATACAGGCTGATTACTTCCAGCTATTCATACTTAGTGTAATTCTGTCTAGTTACTTTTAGGGATTAAATAACTATGGATGCTTTAAGATGTGGAATCAGAACGATGCCACCTTGAAACGAAACCGGAAAAAAAAAAAATTGTAACTGAAATAAATGTACTGAAAAATCTTGTATTGAAACCGAAAAGAAATTGATAGTGAAAAACAATTAATTGAAACTAATTTTTTTGTTTTATACGCTTACAATTTTTTTTTTTCAGTTTCAATCCATTTTTCAGTTTCACTCTGCTGGCACTGTTTTGGCGTCCGGGGGCGCGGGGGCGGGGATTCCGACCCGCATGTATTTGCATATATTATAATGCTGACCAATGACTGGAGAAAACACTGACGACGCGGCTGCGGTCACGGACAAACATGCACGTGTCTGTTCGGGAATGGCAGATGCAGAGAGGTCCAGCGTTTACATTACCGAGTATTTCAAAGTGACAGCCTGAGGTGTTCTTCAGTAAATTGGACTACCGGACAGGAGGACCTGAGGCCCCACCGCATTATTTTTGGTAAGTTAAATGTGTTTGTAAACTAATCCGTAATTTAGGTCCTTAGCTAGCTACCTAGCTAGTGCTCACCTTAGCTAGCTAAGATGAGCACTCGGCTGTCGGGGAAACGTGTTTTGTATAGTTCGTTTAGCTAACCCGTGCAGGTGAATGAATTTACCCTGACTAAAGAAATCAAGAGAAACGCACCGGGCTGCTCAGTGACTAACCACGGTTACTGTACTTTTATTATACTGTAAGAGCAACAGGCTGGACTCTGCTTCTGCTCCTGTGCAGAGCTGATTATTAAATATGTGGAAACAGCAGCATGTTTTCTGTCGCTTTCCACATGTGGAAGGACATTAACGCCAACTTTTAAAAACCTGGCACTTCAGTAACCCCACATTAGTCAATAGCTACGGATTAAAGAGCAAAGCCCGATACTTATGTACTGAAACCAAACTACTTCCGCTTGTCAGTTTAAGTTAAAATGTTACATTTTTTCCTCTGATTATTTTTGCTTTTTTTTTTTTTACTGAGTTTGTTACAAATATTCAGGTTAAAAAACTGTCTGAATAATTTTTAATGAGTTATATTCACAAAGTCACATGTGCAGTACTCTGTACAGCTTGCATCCTTTAGGACAAATAATTTGAAGCATTAATATTTCTTGTTCACTGCTGATAACACCTCCGTATGTTGTGACCAGGATGCAGCAGCAGACTGAACCAGAACTGAAACCTGCTCCATCATCTCATCTTTGCAGATGTCCATTTATAAAGCATCAACAACTCAAAGGTAAACATAATATTAGAAAATGTGTTAGTATATAAGGCCTTTAAAACAAATAAAAATAAACAGCTGTCGGCAGAACTGTAGACTGAACAACTTCAGATCCCGAGTGTGTGAGGACAGAAGGATCAGCTCTATTTCAGATTTGAGAGATAAACTTTATATTTCAGTTTGTAATGATTCTGTTCTGTTTGTGATTACAGGAGCCGTCCTCAGATTCAGACCTCAGCACCACCCAGTGACAGCAGACAGATCATCCTATATCTTCAATCTTTGTAGTAACTCCAAAATTAACTGAAGAAAACAGTACAAAGGTTAAAGTACCACACGTGCTGTCAGTGAAAGCTGCAGCTGTTTTATTGATAAAGTTAAAGACAAAAAGTCAAAAGGATTAATCACCCCAGTGTTGGGAAGGTTAATTTTAAAATGTATTCCACCAAAGATTATAGAAGTAATGTATTCTGAATACTTTATAACTACATGAATGTACTATTGCTGTGTGATTTATTACTATTACTGAAGGCTACTCGCCATACCAATACCAACTAGATGTTAAAATCTTAATATAAATGAGTAACAGTAGGTGGACATTAGGTAAGGCTGCACTTTTTGCAACGATCTCGTGTAGAAAACTATTCCGCGTGTATATAAAACAGGTCAGCGGCTCCGAACCGTAGTAAAGGGACCTCTGGCTAATACGTCGGGTTCGTGTCGGGCTCGTAGCTGAAAACTAGCTTTACTTTGTTGTCTGGGTCGACTTTGCTAGCTAGAGACAGAGAGAGGCGTTGAAAGGCTGCTCCAGCGGGACTTATTGTTTCAGAGGAAAACACGAACACAGTCGAGTCTTAACAACTTACTTACAGCTGGGCTCGTCAGGCACTCTTTTTGGCTGCAGTAGTTATTATTATATTTACATGCTTCCAGCTCCCGTTTCTGCTCCGTGACAGCTCGTACTTTTCCTTCCTCCTCACTCACAGACACATCACGGGTATGGCAGTCCATTCTCCCTGCAGCACGGACTACACTGAGGCCTGAGGCTACATTGTTTAGGGCAATGCCTTTAACACTCTGCCTGTTGCCTTCATATTAAATCATTTTTGTATAATAATTTTTAGAGGCTCTTATTGTTTTGTTTGGGTTTCCACTGGCGTGGAATTACCAAAAATAGAGAGACCATAGCCTAACATATGAAACAGGAAAATACCGCCATGTAATCCATTTATTTCAACAAACTAACTGTATTCTCAATATCACCTATTGAACGGTAACTGTAACGGATACATTTACTCATATTTTGTATTTTAAATACGTAACGCTGCTGCATGTATTACGTTACTGCCCAACACTGCCTGTTGATGAGATCTTGTGCCGCTCCTAAAACACCGGCCTCCAACTCCTAAAGAGACACGGGTGTCCCTAAATTTAGCAGATATTAGCTTCAGGCTAGCTTGCTACGACGAATAGGCTAACACCAGCATTTTACCACAAGTTCACCAGATGTAGCAAAAAAAAAAAACCTAAACTAATGTCCAGTCCAGTGGGACAGCAAGGAAAAACGACAAAAAATGATTACTTACTTGCGGTTTGTAGAAATGACTGAAAGATTAATTTGCTCTGTTTTGAGTTTTGTTCAAAAAAGAATGACTTCATATAGGGAAAAATATATATCATATGCAGGACACTTTAAACTAGTTTTTTAATTAAGCAGCAAGGCAGAACTAAATCAGGGCTGCATCAAGACACGAGGACTAAACCCCAATTCAACCAGACCCAGAACTGATCCAGAATTAAAACAGGACTACAACAGTTCAAAGTCAGGACTACTTAGGATTTAA